ACTTTTTAATATGTAAAAGCACATATCAGAGCTAATTTTTCCCACGTGAAATGGGCCTTTCCAGTGCTTATTTATATTTACAGGATGGTTTAATACAGCAGTGTGGTGAGACAATGAAGGAAACAATTAATGTGAAAACTGTATGTGGCTATTACACATCAGCAGGGACCTATGGATTAGATTCTGTAAAGAAAAAGTGAGTTACCTTTCTTGTTTTGCTTCATATCCCACTTTTAGAAATTTGGTTGCTTTAGTTTCTTAAGAGAATGTATAGCTGTAAGAAAGAATTAAGGAAAAATAGGATAGGGGAGGGGAGTTTTGTTAAATAAAAAGCCCCTTTTAACTTTTGGACTAATTAGTAAATTCCTCAAAAGTGTTGTCTTTGTAAGTGACCATAGGTGGGTTATCTACATGCTTATAAAAACCATATCACTCTTGATTGGGTGTGGTGGCTAATACCTATAACCCCGGAGGCCAAAGCCGAAGGATCACTTGAGCCCAGGAGGTTAAGACCAGCCTGAGCAACATAGGGAGATCCCATCTCTACAAATAATTTAAAAATTAACCAGTTATGGTGGCATGCACCTGTGGTCCCAGCTATTCTGCAGCCTGAGGTCAGAGGATTCTTTGAGCCCAGGAGGTTCAAGGCTGCAATGAGCTGTGATGGTGCCACTGCACTTTATATTATGTTCTCTATTAAAATTGTTTAAGAAGTAGGCCTGATAGACATTATATCATTGCAACAACTGACATTTCTTCTAACTCTTGAAAGTTGCAATACCCGTTTTGAGATTTTAAAGGTTATAGTAGTATGCAGATCCCTTAAACTATTTAACACAAACTCAAAATGAAGCTGTTAAAATTAGAAATGCTCTTGTTAATATAAAGAAAATACTCTGTAATATCCACTGACAAAAATAATACTAAATTTCCTATTGTTAAGCTAAAAGTTTTGAGCATGTTCTGTCAAGATTAATATTCTGATTTTATTTTAACTGTAAGTCCTACTTAATAAATTGTAAACACATGGCATATAATGTAATAATTATATATTTTAATTTCAGGTGCCTTGAATGGCTTCTAAACAATTTGATGACTCACCAGAATGTTGAACTTTTTAAAGAACTCAGGTATTTGAATTTCAAGTAATTTTATAATTAGTCATCCTAAAATATTGTTTACCATTTGTTAAAGTATGCAACGTTTTTGTAGAACACAAAAATATATTATGAAAAAGCAAACAATTTAATGAAAGGGCTTGACTACATCCATAAGCTGAAGAAATGCTACACAAACTAGTTCTTTGTTGTGAATGATATAATGGATATTATGTCTACTGTTTTAACCAATTTTAATAGAAAAATGCATTACTGTTATAAGACTATAGAAAAGTTTTGGGTTTTGCCAGGCTCTTGGAGAATTTAAAAGTTACATATTAAAAACCATCTTTATTATTGAGAAATAAATTTGAAGAAACTGTTTTGGCCTTTTTATTTTTTTAACCTTCCAGAACTCTTCATTTTGGTCAGTTTTCTCACTAGAATGAATTCTCTAATGTGGAGTAACAGATGTGCATTTCCTACACATGTACATTTTTCCGTCTCTGATTATTTCACACCTTGAATCCAAATCTGTAGTACCAGCTACTTGGGAGGCTGAAGCAGGACGATTGCTTGCGCTATGGAAGTCAGGGTTGCAGTGAGCTGTGATTGACACTGCACTCCAGCCTCAGTGATAGAGTGAGACCCCAGTGAGACCAAGTTACCATAGTTCTTCACCATCGCTTCCTGGTGATGGTCTTCTGAACCAGGTCAAGGTATTCCCACTCCTGACAAGTGAAGTCTGTAGCCACGTCCCTGAATGTTACAAAATCACAGGCGTGGTTTTAGACAAAAAGAGCCAATCAGTCCTCAGGATTTCTCTTGAAAAGCAGAGTTGGGAAAACTTAGACCTGTAATCCCAGCACTTTGGGAGGCCAAGGTGGGAGGATTGCTTGAATCTAGGAGTTTGAGATTATCCTGGGCAACATAGTGACACCCCCTCTTTTTGAGAAAATATTGATCTTCCTTTAAAATGTTAGCGCCACACAGAGTCCCATGAAGGCTTCGGGCTGGGGCTACGGAGGCTCCCACAATGACCTGCGCTGCCTTCTTCCTCAGGTGGGACCCAGTCACGCATAGCACAGCACAGAGCCAGAGGTCCAAGATTTCTCCATCACCTATGGAATATGTAGTCCAAGCTGGAATAGTCAGGACCATAGTCATCCCTGAGAAATGGATTCCAGAGTCCTAAAAACCTACAAGAAATATGGCAGTGACAATGAGGACTGCCTTGCTATGTTGCCCAGGGTAGACTCAAACTCCTGGGCTCAAGCAGTCCTCCCACCTCAGCCTCCCAAGTAGCATGGACTATACACACATACCACTGGACTTAGCTTAGTTTGGCATTTTGAGTTAAGTACGCATATTATCCATTTATTCTTTCCTGCAACAAGTACTTCCTGACTGTTCATTACGTGTAAAGATACCCTGTTAGGGGCTATGAAGGATGCAGAAGAGATGATTTTATCATAGTCTGTTGCTATCAAGGAGCTTATTTATAGTAATGGGACTAAGGTTTTTGTGATGGGTCTGAGAAAATCTGGCTAGCAGTGAACTTGAAGAGTGGTTGGCATCACAGTCATTTTCTGGCTTGCATTTCCTTGACAGTGGTGCTTCTGAGACAAAGATACTGAGGTGACCAGGAGTATGTGACATTCTGATGGAAATATGCAAAACCAAAGACAAACATTGCATAGCTCCCTGGGATGTGAATTTTACTGATTTTTTGTTTTTGTTTTTTGGTGAGATGGAGGTGGGAAAGAGGTAAACTTCTTTTTTTTCTTTTTGAGACAAGAGTCTGACTGTTGTCCAGGCTGGAGTACAGTGGCGCAATCTCAGCTTACTGCAACCTCCGCCTCCCGGGTTCAACTAATTCTCCTGCTTCAGTCTCCCAAGTAGCTGGGACTACAGGTGCATGCTGCCACACCCGGCTGATTTTTTCCATTTTGGTAGAGACTTTAAATAATCTCCAGATGTTCTTATAGTACCTAATACAATGTAAATGTCATATAGTTGTTGTAAATTTTTTGGTGTTTTTTTTTTTTTTATATATAATTTTTCCCCAAAATATTTTCAATTGGCAGTTGGTTGAATACACAAATGGAGAATTTCACTGTGTTGCCCAGGTTGGTCACAAACTCCTGAGCTCAGGGAATCCACCCGCCTCAGCCTCCCAAAGTGCTCGGATAACAAGCATGAGCCACCACGCCCAGCCAACATTTGTATGTTTAAATACATTATGGAATAGAAAGAATTCAAATTTCCTTGAACTCTCAAGATAAAATACAAATTATAGAAATGTTACTTTTTATGGTTAGACCACCTCCTAGGTTATTGGGTTCTTTCCTTTCTTTTGCCTTTATGAGATAATTTGGTAGAGAAGTGGGAGAGACATTCATCACCTGGCGATGTCAAGGCATAAATAAATCACTGCAGAATGTTTGATTTGAAAACCATTAAAAACACTTTAATACTGTCAACCCTCCATATCTGTGAGTTCTCCATTTGTGAATTCAACCAACTGCCAATTGAAAATATTTGGGGGAAAAACTATTTTTAAAAAACCCAATATCATATAACAATTATTTACCTAACATTTACATTGTATTAGGTACTATTAAAAACATCTAGAGATGATTTAAAGTATATGTGCATAGGTTACAAGCAAATACTATGCCATTTTATATAAGGGACTCGAGCATAGAGGATTTTGGTATTTGTAGAGGATTCTGAAACCTATCACCCACAGATACAAAGGGACGACTCCAATTTCTCATTGAGCTTTTAGGAAAAGGAGCAGAATCCTCTTAAAAACCCAGATGCTCTCTTGGCTTTTTATGGCTCAAAGGAAAGAAAGAATGAAGAAAAAGCAAAACAAAACAAACAGCTGGTAGTATCCTATTCACTCAAAATAACTAGCACATCTTTCTTGTCTTATTCTCTTGAATAGTAATAAAACCATAGTTTATAACCAAACAGTTCTCTTAAACCTAGAGGTTAAAGATTACTTTGAAGATATAGCTGTTTTAGTGTATTTTCTTTTTTCTTTTTTTTTTGGAGACAGTGTTTTGCTCTGTTGTTGCCCAGGCTGGAGAGCAGTGGTGCAGTTTTGGCTCACTGCAGCCTCCACCTCCTAGGCTCAAGTGATCCTTCCTACCTCCTCAGCCTCCCAGGTAGCTAGCTGGGACTACAGTCACACACCAACATGACTGGCTTTTTTTTTTTTTTTTTTTTTTTTTTTCCTGGTAGCAAAAAGTCTCAACATGTTGTCCAGGCTGATCTCAAACATCTAGCCTCAAATGATTCTCCTGCCTCCCAAAGTGCTGGGATTACAGATGTGGGCCACCATGCCTTTTTTACCATGTTGTCCAGGCTGATGTCAAACATCTAGCCTCAAATGATTCTTCTGCCCCGCAAAGTGCTGAGATTACAGATGTGGCCACCATGCCTTTTTTTTTTTTTTCCCCCAAAACCACAACAACAACATAGAAGTGGAATGTCAAAAGGCAGGAAAGGAAGTCTGTCATTTTATCAGAGCATACTGATACTGAAAGTTGTCTTATTAGAACCTTGCTTTAACTTGATTACTCAGCAGATCAGAGCTTTGTTTCCCTATCAATGTGAAAAGGACCTTTCACAGCACACTATGTGAATTAAAAGTATAGCTGTATCCAGATAGATTGTTTTGTTTTCTAAGATTCTTTGTCTTAGGCAGAAAGACTGCTGTCGTTTTTAATTCCACTTTTTTTTTTTTTACAAGAAAGACTTAAAGCTTTTAGTTCCACCAGGATCCTTTAGCCTGTACCTGAAGATCAGCTCACTTCCTCTGTTTATCCTTTTCAGTATAAATGTCATGAAACAGCTCATTGGTTCCTCTAACTTATTTGTGATGCAAGTCGAGATGGATGTATACACTGCTCTAAAAAAGGTACTGACATAATATGATATCATATTATGCAAAGATGTCACCTTGGCACTGCGTATAATGGTGAAAAACTGGAAACAGTGTCAAGTAATAAAGGAATGGTTATAAAAATGTAGGAAAAGGCAATAGGCCAAAAAATTAAAAAGTCTTTATATTTAGGAATTTGGTATTATTAGTGATTTTAACTTTATTTTTTGTGCTTTTCTGTTTTAGGAATACTTTTCTGTTTTTTCCCAGACTTTAACAAAAAATGTGTTGTTATTTATTTATATAATCAGAAATGTTTTATATTGTTTTTAGGAATGTTTTCAAAATTGAGCTTCAGTTGATGGAATTTTTGCACATACTTTTTCTAAGAAATGTTGAAATTCTTATAAAGGCCTATTTGTGTGTCTGGCGTATGTTTTACTTCATCCTTTTGAAAAGTTTCAGCATTTTAAAATCTAATTTTATTTTCACGATTCTTTGAAGACACAAATCAACCATTACTTTTTTATGTAGATGGTGAGACTCAGAGCAGACTTGAGGCAGAGACTGGTTCTTGAGAGTCCCAGTCCATTGCTCTCTTCCTACTCCATAATCCTGCCTTTACTCTTTTGTCCCCAGAAGAGCGTTGTCAGTATTTAACACAGTTATGAAGCTTCAAACCAAGACACTTTCTAGCTTATCTCATAGGGATTCTGTGTGCTTGTTTGTTTTTATGGTAGAGGTGAAATTTTGTTACTATTTTTTCTTCAAGGAACTTTACTATCTGGGCTATACAGTCTTTTAAAAAATTGGAAAACAGGCCAGGCACAGTGGCTCTAGCCTATAATCCCAGCAATTTGGGAGTCCCAGGCTGGCAGATCACTTGAGGCCAGAAGTTCAAGATCATCTTGGGTAACTTGGCAAAAACCCCTCTCTACAAAAAGTACAAAAGTTTAGCTGGGTATGGTGGTTCATGCCTGTAGTCCCAGCTACTCAGGAGGCTAAGGTGGGAGGATCACCTGAGCCTAGGAGGTGGAGCCTGCAGTGAGTTGTCACAGTAGCATTCATTTCTGTTGTTATAACTGCTTTTTGCCAGTAATGATAAGTGCTAATACTTACAGGGTGTTTACTCCGTGCCATGCACCATTCTAAGTATTTATATATATTAAATATTTTAATGTCCTATGAGGTAAACACATTATCATGCTCATTTTACAAATGAAGAAATTAAGGCCCAGAGATATTAGGTAATTTGCCTAGCTCTTAAGTGCCAGGTCCAGGATTTAAAAGGCTTTGCTCTTACCTACTCTGCATGTTATCTCAGCAGCAATGAGACAACGAAGCTCCTTTTTCCTGTGTTAATTTCTTGCTTTTATAATCTCATCTAGTATTTAGTGAAATTGAGTTGTTAATTAGTGAGTAGCATAAATTAGTATAAAATTACTAATGTAATACACATATACATTAAACCTTTACCTTTTTAATACAGTAATCGCCAGTATATTTGTGACCATAACTACTTCTCAAGGATTGGCTTACTCCTTAGCACACACACCCAATTTTTTCTTTTTCTCTTTCTTTTTTTTTTTGTTTTTTGTTTTTTTTGAGACGGAGCCTTGCTCTGTCACCCAGGCTGGAGTGCAGTGCAGTGGCATGCTCTCAACTCGCTGCAGCCTCTACCTCCCGGGTTCAAGAAATTCTCTGTCTCAGCCTTCCAAGTAGCTGCAATTACAGGTGCCCACTACCACGCCCAGCTAATTTTTTTTTGTATTTTTCATAGTGACAGGCTTTCACCATCTTGGCCAGTCTGGTCTTGAACTCCTGACCTCATGATCCACCCGCCTTGGCCTCCCAAAGTGCTGGGATTATAGGTGTGAGCCACTGTACCCAGCCCACACACCCAATTTTTATCACAGGACTATGATTTTTTTTTCTTTTTACCTTGAGGCAAGGTCTCGCTCTGTCAACTTAGACTAGAACACAGTGGTGTGATCATGGTTCACTGCAGCCTTGACCTCCAGGGCTCAAAACATTCTCCCACCTCAGCCTTCTGAGTAGCTGGGGCTACAGATGCATGCCACCATGCCCAGCTAATTATTATTATTACTATTATTATTATTATTATTTTGTAGAGATGGGGTTTCACCTTGTTTCCCAGGCTGGTCTGAACCTCACTCAAGCGATCCACCCACCTTGGCCTCCCAAGTGCTGGGATTATAGGTGTGAACCACAGTGTCCAGCCATTGGACTATGATAATGCCATGATAAATTGAGAGTTTATAAGCATGTGATCTAATAGTTGTACTTTCTTTCTTGCAATTGGTGGTAAAGTAGAAGTTACATTTTTTGGCTATTATATTTTAAGATGAAAGCAATTTGAAAATGTAAAATCATAAAATGATGAAATTTTATAACTTCTTTCTTATTTTTTAAAATCTAGTGGATGTTCCTTCAACTTGTGCCTTCTTGGAATGGATCTTTAAAACAACTTTTAACAGAAACAGATGTCTGGTTTTCTAAACAGAGAAAAGGTAGGCTGAAGTCTTTGAGAATTTGTCTTTTTAAAGGAAATTTATTAAAATCAGGTCCTGTGAGAACAGAAAATAAAGAAATAAAAAAATGAAATCAGGCCCTCACTTGTTTATCGACTTAATTTTAGAGCTTGGAGAAGACCTTAGCAGTTATCTACTTCAGCCTCACATTTACAGTGAGAAAATCAAGGCTAGATAAGAAAAATGCCTTACCTATCATTATCTGAATTGTTACCTCTTGAACTGTCACCATACTCTTGATCCCCAAAAACTATTGTATTTCCCATTTTATCACCAACAGATCTTGTTGATGTGCATTTGTCTTGCCCACACTGAGTTTTCTCTAACTATACCCTGTCAGGCAACCATTCTTAACAGGAGGCCATAGATAGGCTTTCATGTGTCACTGACCCCCAAAAGTGGATACAGAATTTGTGTGTGTGTGTGTGTGTGTGTGTGTGTGTGTGTGTGTGTGTGTGGCATGTCTTTGGGGGAGGAGAGCTTCCATACCCTTCCATCAGTTTCTCAGTGGAGACTGGTCTAAAATTGGTTAAGATCAACTGTTATAAGGTCTTATCTGCACAGAGGAGGGCATGCAATGTAAAAAATGTATGTATGTATATGTTAAAAGTATATGTATGTTATTTTTTACTTTGCTAAAACATATCTAGAAAAAGTATTTTTAGGCCGGGCGCGGTGGCTCAAGCCTGTAATCCCAGCACTTTGGGAGGCCGAGGTGGGTGGATCACGAGGTCAAGAGATCGAGACCATCCTGGTCAACATGGTGAAACCCTGTCTCTACTAAAAATACAAAACATTAGCTGGGCATGGTGGCACATGCCTGTAATCCCAGCTACTCAGGAGGTTGAGGCAGGAGAATTGCCTGAACCCAGGAGGCGGAGGTTGCGGTGAGCCGAGATCGTGCCATTGCACTCCAGCCTGGGTAACGAGCGAAACTCCGTCTCAAAAAAAAAAAAAGAAAGAAAAGAAAAAAAGAAAAAGTATTTTTTATGACTGTCAGGTGCAAAGAACTGGTTAAAACATAATTCTTAGTTCATGATTTTCATAGTTTATGGCCACCTTTTTGGTTTATTTTTAATACATCGAGCCTTTGTGACCTAATCTTTGAGTACTAGAACATCAGTAACTTCAGTCTACTCATGTGCTTCTTTTCTATTGTGTCCCTCTAACTTTTCCCAACCACTGTCTTGAATTTTGTGTTTATTATTCTTTTGCTTTACAAATATATAAGAAGAAAAAAATATATATAATTACAACATGTATATATGTCTTCACATATATTACATAGTGTTGTGCTAATAAGCTGACTGAAAAAATAATCCCTGATTAGTAACACTTTTTAATTCCCATGGTACAAATTTTCCCATCGTGGCTAATTGACTGCAAGCTACCAACGTGACATCACTGAATGAGAAAAGAGATGCTCACAGTCAGCTTGTATGAGCAAGTGGCAACACACTACCAGATAATATATCATTTTGCTTTGGTTGTTATGGAACTCTGTTACATTGTGGCCTTAATTTTAATTTCCTTTATAACTAAAGAGATTGAACAACTCTTTATATGGTTATTAGCCATATGTTTCCTCTTCTGTGAGATGTCTGTTCAGGTGTGTTTCCTATTTTAATGTCAAATTTGTCTTTTTTTAGGATTTATAGGCATTCTTTATATATTTTCAATAACTAATCCTTTGTGATAAATATGTTCTGCATTTCCAGTTTGTAGGTTATTTTTTTACTTTATTAAAGATGTTTTCTTGACTGGGTACCATGGCTCACACCTGTAATCCCAGCACTTTGGGAGACCAAGGCAGGAAGCTCACTTGAGCCTAGGAGTTCCAGGACAGCCTGGGCAACATATCAAAACCCTGTCTCTACAAAAAATTAAGAATTAGCAGGGCAGCCAGGAACAGATGGCTCATGCCTGTAATCCCAGCACTCTGGGAGGCTAAGGTGGGCGGATCATAAGGTCAGGAGTTCGAGACCAGCCTGGCCAACATGGTAAAACATTGTCTCTACTAAAAATACAAACATTAGCTGGGCATGGTGGCAGGCACCTGTAATCCCAGCTACTCGGGAAGCTGAGGCAAGAGAATTGCTTGAATCCAGGAGGTGGAGGCTGCAGTGAGCCAAGATCGTGCCACTACACTCCAGCCTGGGCAACAAGAGCAAAACTTTGTCTCAAAAAAGANAAAAAAAAAAAAAAAAAAGAATTAGCAGGGCATGGTGGCATGAACCTTTATTTCCAGCTACTGGGGAGGCTGAAGTGGGAGGGAGGATCACCTGAGCCTGGGGATGTCGGGGGCTACAGTGAGCTGACCACACACCACTGCACTCCAGCCTGGACAACAGAGTGAGACCCTGTCTCAAGAAAAGGAAAAAAAAAATGTCTTTTGATGAATAGATGTTCTTAATTTTAAATTTTGGTACTCTTTATATCTTATTTAAATGCATTTTGTAGAATTATTTTATGTAGTCAGATTTCCTATGTCAGAGCCAGATAAATTATTTTTCTATCAAGCTCTTGAAGTAATAATTTATAAAGAACCATGAGATCTAACTTGATTCCCTTGAAGAACAAAAATACTAAACTTGTATCTGAAGTTATACTTTTGTGTTACATTATGGCAATTAAAAAAGGACTAGAGAAATTATAGAGGAGAAAAGTAGGGGAAATAATTTAAACAGAAGAGAGGGAAAAGCTGAAAGAGATAAGGAGGGTAACGAAGCTAAAAAGACAAAGGGACTCAGTAGAAACAGTAGATGTTAGGTAAATGTTGACAGAACCTTATGATCATTTGCACTCCAAATGGATCCGCCACAGCAATCTATCAAAAGAGAAATTGCCCTGTAGCCTAAGTGGCAGAAACCAGAGAAGGAAGCTGTGGTCCACTTCTGGTTCCCCACTCGAGGCTCTCCCTCCCAGCCCCTGAGGTGTGAAAGAATACAGTCCAAGATAACTTTTCAGGGAGACATTGATTGCACAAACCAAAATGTATGTCTAATGGTCTTGTTTTTCTAATTTTAAAACTGTTGAAAATGACTCTAAAAATTTGATGCATACTTAGGAAATAGGATAGAAAAAATGCTTGTGATCCCTCACCCATTATATTTTGGGGGATGTGTGTGTGTGTGTGTTGTTTGTTTGTTTGTTTGTTTGTTTTGTGTGTGTGTGTGTATGTGTGTTTTGTTTTGTTTTGTTTTGTTTTGTTTTTTGAGACTGTACCTTGCTCTGTCACCCAGGCTGGAAGTGCAGTGGTGCAGTCTTGGCTCACTGCAACCTCCACCTCCTGAGTTCAAGGGATTCTCTTGCCTCAGCCTCCTGAGTAGCTGGGACTACAGGTGCGTGCCACCACATTCAGCTAATTTTTTGTATTTTTAGTAGGGACAGGGTTTGCCATGTTGGCCAGGCTGGGCTTGAACTTCTGGCCTCAAGTGATCCACCTTCCTTGGCCTTCCAATGTGCTGGGATTACAGGCATGAGCCACCACGCCTGGCATATGTTTTGGTATATTTCTTTTAAGTTTTCTTAATCATTTGACTTTTCAGATCTATATGAATCAGGACCATAAGAATCAATAGAAATTTAGAAAGTTTTCTACACAATTATACTTAAGGATTGCTATTAAATTTGGCTGATGGAATAAGTATGGCCACATGTTGGCCAACAAGAAACTTTAAAACTTTTTTTTTTATTCTATAAATTCTTACAGAAGTAAATGAGCCAGTCTCTTCTATAGCCTTGACGAAAAGGCTTCATGAGAGATAATTACCAGATTTCATGAGACAATCCAGAATTAATTTTTATATCTTGTTTATGTGACAGAACACCTGTAAAAACAAAATGATATTATCAGCACACCCCATGAAATTGGCACATTTAATTCAACATATGAACTAGCACCGATGTTGTTATTTTAAAAAGCAAGACATACAAATCCACTGTCACACACCTGTTGTATAAATAAGCAAAGCTATTTTTAAATGAATTTACTGCTTTCTTGTTTGCTTTACTTACTCTAGGCAGGTGCCAAGGGAATGCAAAAAATATATATATGAGATAATGTGGAAATTCTTTTCTTTAACTTGGCTGTCTTTTTACAATTTTCAGGAAAAAAAATATTTTAGTGGGGAACACCCTTCTGGTCCACAGAAAACCTGTGTTCCATGTGAAGCATGGTTTGAGACATAATAGTCTATAATGGCAACGGTCATGTTTTTTTTCTTGTCGTTAATAGAAACAGGACTGAGTATACATACTCTCCTGGGTGTATGTCGTTTAACAGAAAACATAGACTAGGGCTCATGCACAAATACCTGTTTGATAGCAGTAACTCTAAACCTTTCCTTCTGACTCATGAAAACACACTGGCATGTAACCAATGGTAATATTTAGGAATAACCTTAGATTCTCCCTAAAAGAAAAAATTTATTCACCGGTTGTGGTGGCGCATGCCTGTAGTCCCAGTTGCTCGGGAGGCTGAGGTGGGAGGATCGCCTGAGCCCAGGAGTTCTGGGCTGTAGTGTGCTATGCCAATCAGGTGTCCGCAGTAAGTTCGACATCAATATGGTGACCTCCTGGGAGCAGGGTACCACCAGGTTGCCTAAGGAGGGGTGAACCGGCCCAAGTCGGAAATGCAGCAGGTCAAAACTCCTGTGCTGATCAGTAGTGGGATCTCGCCTGTGAATAGCCACTGCACTCCAGCCTGGGCAACATAGCGAGACCCTGTCTCTTAAAAAAAAAAAAAAATTTATTCATATATTTCGTATACTTGAATTATTCTATTTTCATTATTATTATGATCATTTATTTTAGAGACAGGGTCTTGCTCTGTCATGCAGGCTGGAGAGCAGTGGCATAATCACAGCTCACTGCAAGCTGAAACTCCTGGGCTCAAGCAATCTTCCCACCTCAGCCGCCTGAGTAGCTGGGTCTACAGACACATGCCACCACATCTGGTTAGTTTTTTTTATTTTTTATTGTTTGTAGAGATGAGGGTCTCACAGTGTTGGCCAGGCTGGTCTTAGACCTCCTGGACTCAAGTGATCCTCCCACCTAAGCCTTCCAAAATGCTGGGATTACACATGTGAGCCATCATGCCCCAGCCTTAAATTATCTTAATAATAACCAAATACTACCCAACTGTTGCAAATCTATGGCTACAATGTCTGTCTATTTTATTTTGTTTTATTTTAAATAGAGATGGCATATCACCATGTTGCTTAGTCTGGTCTGGAACTCCTGGGCATAAACGATCTGCCAGCCTCAGCCTCCCAGAATGCTGGGATTAGAGGCATGAGCCACCACAGCTAGCCATACAATGTCTTTCTTATTTTACATTTCAATGGAGAATTAATATATTAACTAGTGCTCAATACATGTAGCTGAAATTTAAGTTAAAAGAAATTAAGAAATATTCTTTATCCTGTGTATCTTACCCTTGAGTAAGCCTTTTGGGCTCTAGAGTTTCACGGCCTGTTCATTTCCTGGGAGGGGGATTCTGGCAAGAGAATGTAACCCTAAGTACCTTTCACAAGCCTTCCTTTACCAACTTGCTGCACTGTAAATGCCAAATCCCCAGAAACAGCTAAATTCCTAGCCCAAGGGTCTCATTAGGGCCAAAGTTAATTTCCAGGGATTTTTAAATAAATCTCCCTATGTTTTTATTCATAAACCTAAGATTTATAAAATTCTTGAAAACTTTAAAACTAGCTTATTTTGTATTCTAATAGACATAAGTGTACAGGAATATCCCCCATCCATAAAAACATTTAAGAATAATAGGTTTGAAAAGAATGGCTGCTTAACTTACATGGTTTTTTATAGATTTTGAAGGTATATCCTTTCTTGAAACTGAACAAGGAAAACCATTTGTGTCAGTATTCAGACATTTAAGGTTACAATATATTATCAGTGACCTGGCTTCTGCAAGAATTATTGAACAAGATGCTATAGTACCTTCAGGTAAGAGAACATAATGAATTTGTAATTTTAAGTAATATATTTCTGATTGTAACAGTAATACAGATCATAGAAAAAAGCAATGAAGGAAATAGAAATTATTATTATTCCCAGAAAGGTATACATTTTTATGCCAAAGTAGAATCATACTATAGAGGTAATTTTCTGTGCTTACATGAGTATTTTCTCATAACATATTTCATTAAATACTCTCTAGAATATTTAAATTATTATCTAGTATTTTGTAACATGGATGTTCTTTAATAAACCATGATTTTGGATCAGACTTTTAAAAATGACTTTTGAAGTATTTAAAGGTCATAACTGCTTTTTCTACTAGTGTTCCTTAAATTTGTTTATTTTGGTTTTATTTTAAAGTCTTAAACTTCATGTTGAAGCAAATGTATCTTCGCTAATTATAGTTCAAATTTTTTGAAATAAGTACTGATTTACCTTTCTGAGTTAAATCTCTAGTGCTTGTGAAAAATTCCATTTAGTACTATACGCACATAAGAAATGGAAAATACAATTCCTGTTTGAAGATTGACATGTAATGTTTGTAGTAATAGAGTTATATATTTGTCTAAAAAAGTTGTGATTATTTTTGACACCTTGTGCCATAGCTGTATATTTGTAGATTTAAATTGTTCCTGAAATCTTTATACTTATTTGGAAAAGAATTTAAGGGAAGGAAAACTTAGAATTAACTCTTCTAGTATATTTGGAAGTAATGCGTTTTTATAAAATCACTTTAGCAAGTTTATAGATACAGTTTAAGTCACAAATTCTCTGAATTTTACATTCCTTATAGTATGTTAGTTCTATAATAGTTTTAGTATCTGTTAATACCAGGCCCTAAGAATGATGTAATGTTAGATGCCAAAGACAATTACATATGCCACACTAATTGTACTTCCTTTTAAGGCTTTTTGCAAATGAATTTTTAAAGAGATTAGGGGAAAGTTTGTTCTAAAGTAGTTTAATTTAAATGTGCCTGTGATGCAAGTGGATAAGCTTTATATTTTTGGATTGCAAGATGGGTATAAGTATTTCTAGTCTAAAATATTTTATTCAGTATAAAATCAGAAAGAATTTAGATCTGTATTTTTTGCCAGATTTCAGTCATTGTTACTGTATCTTACAGTTGATTATTTATCACATTGTAAGGGACAGAAGGAAGCCACTTAGTTCACATATTGAGGTAGATTGATGTATACTCTCAGTAGGAATATATCTTAGATTTGAAATAAGTTGAAATTATTTTGATTAATCAACCTAAAACTCATTGATCATTTTTCAGAAATAGTGCCAAACATGTTAACATTAATCACAGTTAGCCATTTGGCAATATGGGGAATTTGGGTACATAGGTTTAACCGTGTTTAGGTGAAAAATTTAGAAACTTGTTTAATTAAAAGTTGAATCAGGACTTTGAATAGAAGCGCTTTATTATAGGATTCAACTGTGTCAAGTACAGTTGAACTCCATTATTTCATGGAATTATGTATAAATTTCAAGGTTTATCTTAGGTCATTAGGTTCATTAACTGTCTTATTCCATACTCTCGGCATGCTTTCCCCCAGTTTGGTACCTCTGACCGATCTTGTGACCATTCCTTCCAGACCTTTCTACCATGTACCCTGGAACCAGGGACAACAAAATCTCAAAATCTTCCATCTCTTTCCTCCTTTTTTTTTTTTTTTTTTNTTTTTTAACTTCCAGAAGAAGCTGTTTTCGCTCCGTAGAAGACTTTCTGGCTCTCACGCCCTGCTAATATAGTATTAGGAGACCACGGTCCTAGCCCCCTCAGCGTGTACTTTCCAAACCATTATTGCGTGCTGTCTGGGCCTGTTTTCTCTCCTGACCCCTCGTCATTTCTCTGCATTCATTTAAGACTTGGACACTTGATTTACTGTCTATTTCTCCCCCCCACGCAGTCACATGGTATATCCATATGAACAAATCCATTTAATATTCCAGCTTCTTAGTAGTTATTTGACCTCAGCTCCCAGTCTCCTAGTTATTTGACCTCTTTGCCAAACATTAGGCACTTTCTACCTAAAACCTGGATATGTCATGAACCTTGTGAACCCTGAATTTCTCAGCATCAGAAACCTAGTAGTTTTCAGGCTTTTGTATAACCTAGCATATTCATAGCCTCATTCCCTTTTACACTGCTCTTTAACATCCAATCCATTTTAAGTCCTCCATTTTCTGCCAGTCTCTCAAACCTCTCCTGCCTTTTCTTCCCTCTCAGGCTTGGATTTCGTGATAGATCATGTTAGGTCACTCTTCAGCTCTGTGTCCTTCACTTGGCAAAATCCTAAAACTAAATTAAACCTTCTTTGTTCCTGTACCTTCCACTTTGTGCTGAGTACTGCTGCAGAGCATTCTACAGCCTTCATATTGGTGTCACTGCAAATTCACATTTCAACACTAAGCTTGAACCTTGAGACTTCTTACACTACTTTTAGTTCATCATTCCTCTTTTTCATTTCCTTCAGCAATTGTATCAATTCTGCCACTCTGTTCAAACTTTCTACCCAATTACCTCACTGTCAGTTTTGTGAAAATAAGTTACTGAAATGAAAAGGTATATAAATCCATGTAATAAATTCAGAAAATAGCTTCAGATTAGATTTTTATATTATATGTAAGCATTTTTGAGCCAGCCTTCTCCATAATTTTGTGTTAATATTTTATACCTAGATGATCTTATTTGTCCATGTAGGAATTTTTTTTTTTTCATGTAAACTTTTGGTCACTCATCTTCATCATCTATATCTGATTTATGTGTTTCATAAAGTAGTTCAACTTGTAGGCTTACTCTTTTGCTATAAGCCATATTAGTTTTAAATGGATTTAAATGTGTGCATTTATACCTGAAGATACACTTTTCCCTTCACTTAAACAAAAAATACTGGACAAATTAGGAAGTATCTTTTTTTTTTTTTGGTTTTTTAAGTTTGTAAATGTAAGACATGAGATTTTCAAATAATACGGTTTTAGAGGTTCCCTTCCCCATATTCTTTGTGTGAAACTAGGGAAATAATCTAAATGAATTCAATCTAACTTATCTTACTTATTCCATTGGGAAAATACTGTGTTTACATGCAAAGCTGCTATAGGCTAGATCTCAGCTGCAGATCATATCCATGTCACTGTCAAATACCACCTTTACATGCTCTTCTTTTTCCCCCTCTGTGGACTGGTGAGGGGCAGGTGGGTAGAAACAGAGTCTTGCTATGTTACCCAGGCTGTTCTCAAACTTCTAGCCTTAAGCAGTCCTTCTACCTCAGTCTCCCAAAATGCTGGAATTACAGGCATGAGTCACCCTCCCCAGCTCCTATTTTGAGTTTTTGTTTTGGACCTTGGTCTGATTAAGTTCTGAAACTTTCTACTATTTAGTCAAAGTTTAGTCTACTTAGTTAAAGTTTCTTGAAGGCACTTTTTCAGTGTCTTTCCAGCCAACAGTAGCTCTCTACCAAAAAGGATCTGGCAAACTCTGCCCAGTGTTTCTTCCTTTTTGGAGATGACTGCATACAAACATATTGAAAACTCTATGTAAAGGATCTCACTTCACTTATTTTCATCCCATGTTTTACCAAGCATTCTTTTTTATTTTCCTTTTGCAATGCTATTAACATTGCATTTGAACTTATGCTACATTGACTTATTTTTGGAATGCTACTTTTGAGACATGGGGCCTAGAATCCTTAGGCTACCAATGACCAGAAGGATTTCAAGTTTGACTTTTTACTCTTTTGGATTAAGGCATGACAAGAGGAACAAAAATATGTACTCATGGTTTTAACTTGTTAAAATGCTTTTGGTTTTAAAGGAGGTTATACAAAAATTGTTGGAATTTAAATTTTGAAACATTTTTATGGGCTACATCTTACATAATATTTGAGAATATACATATATGTATAACTCTTTCTTTCCAGTTTTACAAATGAATCATGAAATGCCATATTCTATCTCTAGATCAATGAGTTTCAAACTCCAGGCATTTTAATAGGTAGAGATCAGCTTTAAAATATATATATTATATATATCTTAGAATTAAAAAAAATGTGTGTATGTGTACTGAGTCATGCAATAGTTGCTACTAGTATTTACCTATGAAGACAAATTGTCTGTATCCTAGACACTTAACTGTTATTCCTTAAAATAGCAAAAATATAATTTTGGAGGACCCTGAAAGAAAAATTCAAAAGTGTATTTAGGCCAGACGTGGTGACTCATTCCTATAATCCCAACACTTTAGGTGGCTGAGGCAGGAGACCTCTTCTCCATAAGAAATGGAAAAATTAGCTAGGCATGGTGGCAGACATCTGTAGTCCCAGCTACTCTGGAGCCTGAGAGGAGAATTGCTTGAGCCCAGCAGTTCAAGTCTGCAGTTTGCCAAGATAGGGCCACTGCACTCCAGCCTAGGCCACAGACCGAGACCCTGTCTCTTTAAAAAAAAAAAAAGGGGGGGGGGGTGGTATTTATAGGATGTCTTAAGGAAAGACACCAGTAAATCATTGGAAGTCACCTGATTACTTTTATTAAGTAGAGACCTAGGAAGTGACAATCAGGTTTTAATTGCACTATAATTTTTCTGCCTTTTTAAGATAGAGATTAAGAAATAATTTAAGAACTTAAGAAAATAGAAAAACTATCCATTCTAATTGGGAATAAACCTGAGCAGAAAGATAAATAGTGCTAAGCTATTCTACTTTTATTTATTTTTGTATTTATTTATTTATTTGAGGCAGGGTCTTCCTCTGTTGCCTAGGTTTTGAGTGCATTGGCATAACCAGGGATCACTACAGCCTTGACCTCTCAGACGCAAGAGAGCTTCCTGCCTCAGCTTCCTGAGTAGCTGGAACTACAGGCACATGCCACTGTGCCCAGCTAATTTTTGTGGTTTTGAAGAGACCAGGTCTCATGATGTTGCCCAGGCTGGTCTATAACTCCTGGGCTCAAATGATCCTCTTACTTCAGCCTCCCAAAGTGCTTGGGATTACAGGCATGAACTATCTCACCTGGCCTACTTTTATTTTTAATCTGTTTTTATCTAAAATAACTAACATTTCTATTTACACAGGCTTCTTTTGTGGAAAAAAAAATTGTATTTATTATTAAAGGAATATCTATAATTAAATTTTTATTCTATTTAGGATATAAAATTTTAATTTTTATATTCTCTAAATCTAATATTCTAGAATTATTTATTGAATGTGCATGTTTCATCTGCTAATTTAGGGATGGCTTATTTCCCAAAAAACAAATTAATTGTTATTTTTAGATGTTAATAATGAAAGAGTTTATTCAATTTTCTGTCAGAACTTCTGTAAAAACTAAAAATATAATTTCAGGTATGATTTTTACAGTTGAAAAGTTAATATGAAAAGGAAACCATTAAGTGCAAGAATATGCTTTTAACTAGGGATTTACATCCCAATTTAAATGTATACAATTTAAGTACAGTCTAGCCTGAGACAAAGCTATATAATCTTTACCACGTTAAAGATCATTAAACCATTATAGTATTTTTGTAAAATATAAGCTACATACTGGTTTCGTTCGTTCATTTGTTTTTTAGTTTGTTTGTTTGAGATGGAGTCTCGTTCTGTTGCCCAGGCTGGAGCGCAGTGGCAACCTCGCCTCCCTCTAACCTCTGCCTCCTGGGTTCAAGCGATTCCCCTGCCTCAGCCTCCCAAGTAGCTAGAATTACAGGTACCCACCAACACACCCGGCTAATTTTTGTATTTTTAGTAGAGATGGAGTTTTGCCATGTTACTCAGGCTGATCCACCTGCCTTGGCCTCCCAAAGTACTGGGATTACAGGAGTGAGCCACTGTGCCTGGCATAAACTACCTACTCTTTAAATTGCTATTTTAAACTTGTATTTAGAAATGGTAACAATTTTATCAATTAAGAATGTATAAATCCTTTATGTTCTTCAGTCGTTATGAATTTTTTTATGAATTTATGAATTTATTCTTACATTTCAGAATGGCTATCTTCTGTGTATAAACAGCAGTGGTTTGCAATGCTTCGGGCAGAACAAGACAGTGAGGTGGGGTAAGTATATTATACCATATCGTTTTTCACTTTAAAAATTTGCTATGAATTTTTTAATGCATTCATTATGTTGAAAAATCATTAACAGTATTGAAAACTCAAGCTGTTGAAGTAAAGATCATATGATCACTTTTCATTATGTTTTTGCAACATTATCAGTCTTATAAATATCTTTCTGGTTGATTAGATTATATAATGCAATTATTGAAATGTAATGTGTTTTATTAGTAGAATTGAACATGTAATCCATATATACTTTGTTTCACTTAATATCATGATTTTCTTTCAACATACTGAACTATTACTTGAGATAATGCTTTCATAAAGCATAATTTTTGTATTTATGTCTAGATAAATCTGTTTTTCTTATTTATGGTAGTATTGTCAAATTCTGATTAGTGTAATAAATAGGTTTTAAAGATCTTTAAGTCTAAAATGAATTTAACAACCATCCAGGCTGAGCATGGTGGCTCACGCCTATAATCCCAACACTTTGGGAGGCTGAGGCAGGAGAATAACTTGGTGTCAAGAGTTCGAGACCAGCCTGGCCAACATGGTGAAACCTCATCTCTGCTAAACTATGGAAGCAGAGGTTGCAGTGAGCCGAGATCTCTCCACTACACTTCCAAGCCTGGGTGATACAGTGAGACTCTGTCTCAAAAAAAAAAAAAAAAAAAAAAAAAAACCATCTGGTTACAGATACCTTCCCCTAAAACGTATGACTCCCCCCACAAAACATTAATATTCTTTCTTCATCTTAAGGGAAAGATGTATAGTGCTTTATAGTTCACAGAACTTTTATATTTATGATTTGATCCTTCTGCTAGCTTCTTAATATAGATATTATGAAGAGACTGAGTATGCAGAAAGACCTTCGAAGTTTAATGTTTTGCCCCGATCTCTTTGAACTCATTTTTATATACCAAAGAATTTTTTTAAATAATGACCTGATTATAAGTTTTCATCCAAACAGTAAGTAAATGAAAGTATTAAATGAATGTATGATGATTATGAGATTTTTATTATCCAGGATCCTAGTTTCTACTTTGATTATAATTATATATTTTTTTAAATATATTCCCAGCATATTTACCCAGCATAAATATAGTAAGATTGTTGAAATACAGATCATAAATTGAAACAAAAAAATGAGCTATTTAATGGAATTGAGAACTAAAGCATTTTGTATCGTTTGAAGTAACAATTAGCTAAAACAGTTGAGAACTGAAACATTTTCAAGTATATGAAGCAACTTATAAATCATCCTACTTCTTTATATTCCGTTTTTAAATTTTGGATGTTCTTTATTTTTCAACATTTTCCTCACCCATATCCTTATTGAGGGTAATACAGAGTCTCATCTAAGATACTACACTACAATAAGTGTTTAGTTTTTTGCCTTAAGAAGTACAGTCATCTCAGGGGGATAGGTTTCAGGACCCCTGCATATACCAAAATCCATACATACTCAAGTCCCGCAGTTGGCCCTGTGAAACCCACTACACAGAATGTTGGCTCTCCATACACACAGATTTCACATACCACAAATACTACATTTTTTAATCTGATTTTGGTTGAGAAAAATCCGTGTATAAATGGACCCAAGCATTTCAAACCTGTTGTTCAAGGGTCAACTGTATACGATAAGTTTACCCCTTAGGAAATGTTCTGTTCAGCAGATACTGAGCATCTACTCACTGCTGCAGGACTGCTAAAGTGAAGAAGACACTATATTCCCCCGATGCTAGGTTGTAAGCTGGTGTAAAGTCTCCCTCTGGGGTTCTCCTCATACAAACTCTCGCCTACATTGCCAAGAGGGTTATCTTTCTAAAACAGAAATGTAACTGTGTCACTTCCCTACTTAAATATGTCCAGGGATGTTTGATGATAGTTAAGGGATTATAGTATTGCTATTCAAGATTATTGAAGCTAGATGGTAAGAAAATTTGACTCATTATAGTATTTTCTCTGTTTTCATATGTTTTCAGTTTTTCATAATAAAAAGTTTAAAAGTTACAGAATAAATGCTTGGGAACTTGTTACCTGCAGGAGCAGTTGAAACTTATTAGCATGGCCTGTGGGGACTGTCTGCATTCTATCCCAGATGCCTTTAGCTTCATCTCCTTTCATGGTCATCTGCACTAAATGTGCACTAAATTCTTATGTTCATATGCTGCAGCTGCATTAAATTCCTTTACGTTTATTTTTCTATTATGCTCCAGTTCCTTTTTATCCACTGTTTCTTTTGCCTGGAATACTCTTACCCCTCCATAGAATGCGCCCCCCAACCTCCATCCCACCCAACAAGCTTCTACTCAGGCACAAATAATATTTACTCTCTAATGATCCCTTCTAAAAACCCTGGGCAATAAATCTGTACCTTCTTCATGCTCTTAATATCACAAACTACAAATTATTAATATTATCATAATTAACTGTATTACAATTTTTACTTATGTCTGGTTCCCTACTAAACTGAGCTCTTGGATATCAAGGACATGTTTTATTAGTCTTATTTACATTTATTTATTATATTTGTTTCATTATTTTATTATGTATTATATATACTATTATTGTCCCCAATTTCTAGGCACTTCATGTTGTAAGTGAATACATGAATAAATGTATTATATTACTATTATTTGGAATTAGGAAGCTGATAATAATAACATATTTATTACAACTTGAGATAACAGAGTTTCTCTTAGTTGATTAAGATTTTTAAACTAAGGAACCAAATAAAGACTTAACTGTTAAAATTCTGCATCCATTTTCTATTAAATGTTGATTTTACATAGTTATACTATATGAAAAATGATTTACATGTGAAACAAGTAATACTAAGTGGTAGGTGATATCAAGTCATTTATTATTTACAAAAATAATAGATTTTAACTTATTTTCCTTAGTAGTTAGACTTTTTCATTTTGGGTTTTTTGTTTTTTTGTTTTTTTTTTTTGGCAAATAGAATTTTTCAGGTTTTTTTTTTTCCTCTTCTCTGGTTTGTCTGGGCCCTAATAAAAGTAATCCAGAAGTCAGGGCAATAAGTGAAACATAGAAGATACTAATTTTCTTTTTTTATCTAGTGACGGTAATGGACTAAATTTAATCAACACATTCTTATTTTATCTATACCACAAAAATTTATTTTTAAATCTGGTAGCAACATTTTCTGTTTTTAACTCATAGGTTTTTTTTTATTAGTTGCATATTTTCTATGATTTAAAATATATTTTAAATATATTCATGTTTTATATATATATTTTAGGCCTCAAGAAATCAATAAAGAAGAACTAGAGGGAAATAGCATGAGGTGTGGTAGAAAGCTTGCCAAAGATGGTGAAGTAAGTATGGGTTGTAACTGTTAATATTCTCATACAAATTGTATTATCAGCACATCCTGCACTTGTAAGTAACAATCATGACACTTGTCACATCTCACAAGAGCTTGTTTGATACACTTTCTGTAGCGTGATCTTCTGGGCAAGGAGTTACAGCCACTATACGCACTAATGTTTGATTACTTAGACTTGTGTGAGACTGCTGAACTTAAATTTTGAGTTCAGATAAGAGATGCAAGAAGAGGGTCCCTAGCAATCCAGAAATAAAGCTAAAGAAGAAATTATGAGGGATCTGTTCCATAGTCTTAAAAGTGATTATGTGTTACAGTTATCCTAAATCAAAGACATTCAAATTCATTGATTGTTACCTGCATTAGGAGTTACTTTTCCTCTGCCAGCCGGAATGGCTCACACCTGTAATCCCAGTACTTTGGAAGGCTGAGGTAGGCGGATCATTTGAAGCCAGGAGCTCAAGACCAGCATGGCCAACATGGTGAAACCACGTCTCTACCAAAAATACAAAAGTTACCCAGGCATGGTGGTGCCCACCTGTAAGCCCAGCTGCTAGAGGAGCTGAGGCATGAGAATCCTCTGAACTCGGGAGGTGGAGGTTGCAGTGAGCCAAGATCACGCCGCTGTACTCCAGCCTGGGCGACAAAGTGAGACTCCATCTCAAAAACAAAAGTTACCTTTTTTTTTATTACCACCCAATGTATATAAATGAAAGAAAAGTATTTAAAAACAATACTTACCCCTGTGCATCCAAAGATTCTTTTTTCTATTTAATACTTTTATTTATTTATTTATTTTTAGAGACAGGCTCTCTGTCACCCAACCTGGAGTGCAGGGGCATGACCACAGCTCACGGCAGCCTTGACCTCCCAGATTCAAGTGCTTCTCCCATCCCAGCCTCCCAAATAGCTGGGATTACAGGCATGAGCCTCCATGCCTACCCATCTGTTTAATTTTTTTTTTTAATCTGATTGCATCCTGTTAAATTGATTTTACAATCCACTAATGGGACATGAACTACATTTTTAAACACTCCCCCCTAACTAATCATAATTTTTGTTTTTAAAAAAATCAGCCTTATATAGATACCCATTTGATTATTTTTCTCCCATTGCTTTTGCTTTTGCTCTGCTCTGCTCTGCTCTGCTCTGCTCTGCTCTGCTCTGCTTTGCTTTCTTTTCTCTTTTCTTTTCTTTTCTTTCTTTCTTTTTTTGTTTTTAGACAGGGTCTCTCACTCTGTCGCCCAGGCTGGAGTGCAGTGGCACGATCATGACTCATTGCAACCTTAACTTCCTGGGCTCAACTGATTCCCCCCTACCTGAGCCTCCAAAGTAGCTGGGACTACAAGCATGCCGCATCACACTTGGCTAATTTTTTAAAATTTTTTGTGGAGACAAGGTCTTACTCTGTTGCCCAGGCTGGTATCGAACTCCTGGGCTGAACTCCTGGGTTCAAGTTGTCCTCCTAACTTGCCCTCCCAAATTGTTGAGATTGCAGGTGTGAGCCACCACGCCCAGCCCTCACTACCCTTCTTTACCACTACTGTTATTATCGGTCTTGATGATTTCAATATCTCTATTCCCTGACCTTCTTTTCCCCATGTTCTTGTGCTTCACCCTACCTCAGGCCTCCATTCCCATGAGCATACCCTCAATTTTTGCATTACTAATTACTACATCACTTTCAAAATCTCCATTTCAGGCATCCCGTTTTCAGACCCCACCTCATCTTTCTAGCTCATTTTCTCTAACACTTGGACTCCAACTATTTTTTAACCCTATTTGAATATACAATACATTGTTTTTACAACCTTTCCCTATCGCCTTTCTCACCACATTTCTAATTCTTTTCCTGACTTATATTTTATGTTCCATCTTAAAATTGGTCCCTTGCTTATACTCTTAACTTTTCTTTTTTCTCTTTGACATGTTAAACTTACCTGGCTAAACGACAGCCCTTATTAAGGCTTGCACTCCATGCTTGCATCCAGACAGATGAATGTGACTAAAGACAAACACCATACCCCATTGGGTTCTACTTGAATGTGGTAACCATAAACTTCAAGTAGGTTAGCGTCATAATCTGTCTACATTTCCCTAGTGAATTGATCCTCCCACTAGCTGAGGTAACTCATACCTTCTCTCCTCAAAAGGGTAATGCTCCCACCCTTATTCTTATCTGATAGCTTTGCTGCCTACTGTAATGAAAAGAGAATCTGTACATCCTGTTACTAGTAATTCTGCCAGTCTACCTACATCTGTAGATATGCGCTATGCTTTTCCTTTTATTAGAACAATGAACTGCCTACTTCTATCTTAGTCCATTCCCTTTCTTTGTACTGGAACTCTATCCATGCTCACCTATTGAGAAGCTTTGCTTTAGCCAGGCACAGTCGTTTGCACCTGCAGTTCCAGCTACTTGGGAGGTTTAGGTGGAAAGATTGCTTGAACCCAGAAGTTTTGAGTTCAGCCTGGGCAATATAGCAAGACCCTGTCTCTTAAAAAAAAAAAAAGCTTTGCTCCTACAGTTGTCACCTCTACTAGGGCAGAAACTGTATTTTATTTACCGCTGTGATTCCGTTGCTTAGAGGAGTGACTGGCATATAATATGTGCTCCATAAATATCAGTTAAATACTGAATTGCAATTCAGGGTATCAGTGAAACACTTGAAGCCCTAACTACTTCTCTGTATCACACCACCTTATCTGATACGCTCACATTAACTATTAGCTGATAGAATAAACAAACTTGTGAACGTCATGATGATATTTAAAATAACCCAGGTGTGTGTCTGTTGGATAATTACATAAGGTATTTTGAGTATTTTTAAAGCAAGGTGGATCTTAATGGGTTCTTAATTATCCCCATCTAGACTCTTAGTTCCCTAAGCTATATACCCGCTTAGAGTTACAGTGAAAAGCCTTATTTATGGTAGAATTGCGGTGTGGAGAGATAAGGAAACTGATCATGAAGAAAAAATAAACTTAGAAAATTATGATCATAAGGGCAGCCTTTCTGGCTTAGATATATAGTTCTGGGTGTAAGCCTTAAGAAAAAGGCGCTGACAAAAAGTCAACCACCCATGAGGGAAATACTTGGAATGGGTTAGAGACAAAAAGACATTTTGAATTTTTTATTTTTGACTTGCTAATATGATAAAGTAAAATAAGTGTCTATTTTTCTATTTAACTGAAATAAAAACTCTCTTTTGTGTTTTTTAGTACTGCTGGCGTTGGACGGGTTTTAACTTCGGCTTCGACCTACTTGTAACGTACACCAATCGATATGTCATTTTCAAACGCAATACGCTGAATCAGCCATGTAGCGGATCTGTCAGTTTACAACCTCGAAGGAGCATAGCATTTAGGTAGAATGAGATTTCCCCAGCCTACCCCTTCTCACTCCAGAGGAAATATAAGAAATAAAACCTTGCTGGGTGCGGTGGCTGACCCTGTAATCCCAGCACTTTGGGAAGCCGAGCTGGGCAGATCACCTGAGGTCAGGAGTTCAAGACCAGTCTGACCAACATGGAGAAACCCCGTCTCTACCAAAAATACAAAATTAGCTAGGCATGGTGGTGCATGCCTGTAATCCCAGCCACTCAGGAGGCTGAGGCAGGAGAATGCCTTGAACCTGGGAGGTGGAGGTTGCAGTGAGCCAAGATTGTACCGTTGTACTCCAGCCTGGGCAACAAGAGTGAAACTCCATCTCAAACAACAAAAACAGCAACATTAGTAGAACTTTGGATACAGTATATGTGGAAGTGGTAGGAAATGAAGAGGCTCCATTCCTATGAAATGTATTATTAGTAATCAAAATCATAAGATCTAGTATGTCAGGGAGAATGAATAGGCTGGAATATATACCAGTAGGGAATATCAGCCTTGAAACTGTCACCTTGTTGCTATTCCTGGCAAATAAAAAGTCCAAACTGTAGAAATATGTAGCTAGGTATGTTTCCAGGAAAACATGTATTATCCCTAACTTTTTAAAGGATTTACTATGTCAAACTTTGCCCAATAGCTGCTGGCAATCTTTTTCTGAGAGAAGCTGACAAATTGGACAATAGCTTAATGAACGTATAGTTTAAAAGTAGTATATTTATACTTAACACCAAATACAAAAATTAACTCAAAATGGATCAGAGAGCTAAGCATAAGAACTAAAACTATGAAACTCTTAGAAGAAAACATTGGGGAAAAGCTTCGTAACAATTGATTTGACAGTGATTTCTTCCATAAGACACCCAAGCGCAGGCAACAAAAGAAGCAACAGATAAAATTGGACTTCATCAAAATCACAAACTGGTGCATCAGAAGACAGTGTCAAGACAGTGAAAAAGCAACCCAGGGAATGAGAGAAGATATTTGTAACCATACATTTGACAAAACATTAATATCCAGAATATATAGAAAACTCCTACAACACTATAATTTAGAAAGAAAGCTCAACTCAAAAATGGGCCAAATACTTGCATAAACATTTCTCCAGAGAAGATATACAAATGGCTAATAAACACATGAAAAAATATCCAACATTACTAATTAGGAAAATACAACCAAACCACAGTGAGCTATCACTTCACACCTATTAGGATGGCTATTAGTAAAAACAAAATAGGAAAAAAAATGTAACAAGTGTTGGCAAGGATGTGCATTGTTTAGAACCCTTGTGTGCTGCTCGTGGCCATGTAAAATCACACAGCCACTATGGAAGATGGCATGATGCGTCCTCAAAAAAATTAAACAATTACCATATGATCCAGAAATTTCTGTTGTATGGACTCAGAAGAATTGAAAATAGGAACTTAAACAGATATTTTTATAAACTTCTGATCATAACAGCATTATTCAAAATAGCCAAAAGATGGAAGCAACCCACATGTTCACTGACAGACGTTAGATAAACAAAATGTGGTATATACGTAAAATAGAACATTATTTAGCCTTGAGAAGGAAGGAAATTCTGATACAAGCTAAACATGGATGAACCAGGAAGACATACCAAGTAAAATAAGCAACACACAAAAGCACAAATATTATAAAATTCCCTTGATGTCAGTTACATAGAGTAGACAAGTTCGTAGGTACAGAGAGTACACTGGTGGTGGCCAGGGCCTGAGGGAAGGGAAATGGGGTGTTAGTGTTTAATGGGTAAGGAGCTTCAGCAAGGGAAAAATTAAAATGTTCTAGAGATGGGTACAGAACAATGTGGAAATGTATTTAATGCCACAGAACTATATACTTTAAAATGGTTAAAATGATAAATGTTATGTATATTTTACCACAATAAAAACATTATAAATCATTTCTCTGAGACAGAGTCTCGCTCAATTGTCCAGGCTAGAGTACAGTGGAGCAGTCTCGGCTCACTCCGCCTCCCGGATTCAAGCAGCTGTCTGCCTCAGCCTCCCAGATAGTGGGATTACAGGCGCCTGCCACCACGACAGCTAATTTTTATATTTTTAGTAGAGGTGGGGTTTCACCATCTTGGCCAGGCTGGTCTTGAATTCCTGACCTTGTGATCCACCCACCTTGGCCTCCCAAAGTGCTGGGATTATAGACATGAACACCGCACCCAGCCTGTAAATTATTTCTCTTGACCAGATAGGTATAATAGCACAGGCTTGTCACTGAATGCAGTCAGATTACAGTTTGAAAAGACTTCCTAAAAGTATTTTATCAAAGAAAAAACAGAGGAAAAAGTAAGTATGAAAGTGAGGGAGGGCGTGTTTAATCTGCGGTTTAAAAATCTTGTGTTTATTTATTATTTATTTCTTTAATCCTAGATTACGTTTGGCTTCTTTTGATAGTAGTGGAAAACTGACATGTAGTAGAACAACTGGCTATCAAATACTTACACTTGAAAAAGATCAGGTATGTTCGACTATCTTCTGGTGTAACATTATAATATTTGTCTTTTGAGTCTGCTTTTCAAAATTCTTAAGTAGAATTAACATTAAAGTGATAGCATTTTGACCTAAAAGTTGGTTTGAAAGTCTTTTGAAGGTAAAGATGAAAGTACCACATTGACTTGTGCATAATTGACCCCATCTCAATGGAAGCGTAATTGGGACAAAGAAAGAAAACATGATTTGAGGGGCAGGGAAAAGCTGATTATAAGGAAATAATCATTTAACCTGAATATCATCTTCAGCACTAAAATTCATTCCTATATTTTTAGGAATCTTAAGTGCCTTATCCATTGTGTATATAGTGCATTTATTTAGACATTCACAGCAGGCATCTTGAAGACAATCCTGTATGTCTCCATAGCTCCTGAATATCATAGGAGCATTATTCTCTAGCCAATTAGATATGTAAGATAGCAAGCCCTGTAATGTTCCCCAGATTATCTCCAAAGGCATTTATTTATTCATACATCACACACAGAGAAGTTTCAAAGTGTCATGATGAGAAAGTAGATCATTTTTAAAAGTAAAATTGAGAGCTGTTAAAATATTGAGGAAGTTTATTAAAACTAATCATCATTCCAAAGGGTATAATGTTTTATTAAAGGATTCAGAGCCTGTTATAGTTACATAAATTATGGGAAGTTAGTAGTTTTCCTCAGACTGAAGAGACTGTCATAGAACATCCTTAGCATTGCAGGTAACCCTGGAAGTGATGATTGTAACTTCACATGCCCTGTATGAGAACTTCAACAGCATCCTTACAGAGGGTCATCCACCCATTGTTGAAACTATAGCTGACTGTCTTACATGAAAGTTAGTATGTAGGAATGTCCATTTCAAGGCAGATATATAATGAGAAAGTCAAATCTCCATCAGAATTCTCTGTTGGTCCTTCTTGTACCCTCTGCAGCTGAATAGACAATGACTATCTTTATGTTCTACCTGAAACTTCATGAAAAATAACTGTCATGGCTCAAACCCAGCCAGAGACTTATAAAAGCACCAAGCCAAGATAATAGTTGTATTCCAAATGTTCCTTCAGCAAACATTTGTGTCCTCACCGTGTGCTTGATTCTCAGCTAGGAGTAGAAGAAATAAAGACAGGCTTTTGTTAATATAGCCTACTGTAAGGAGCATGATGGAATGAGCTCAGAGTGCAACCTTGAGGAAGAAGACGCTAACTTGTAACTGAGCAGTTGCGGGACTAGGGGGTGGTTATTAGAGGAAGAGAAAGAAAAACAGCTCAGGGAAAACATCCTCTCCTGGAAAAGTGTTAAAGTGAATGCATACCTGAACCAAGCCTCAAATGATGAGTAGGATGCAAGCAAGGGAATACACGGATCATTCAAGAAACTGAAAGATAGTTGGAAGAGTTCAGTATAACTACAACCAGGGCATGAGGGCTGTGGATGGAGTTTAGGAGATTTACTTTGGGAGTTGTGTATTTGTTTTATATAGGTTATAGATGTAGAAAAAATAGAAAATATAACTCAGCTGAAACAACAGTCATGCATGTACCACTCAGATACATTACTGAGTTTTTTCTTCACCTGTATCTTTTTTGCAAAATTGGATCGTACTAGGTTAGCTATTTTGTAACCTGCTTTTTTTTAAATGATGAAATATATATATATATATTTAGAATTTGCCAGCTGGATTCAACTTAGATGATCCCAGTTTTTTGGCAGCATCTAAAATGAGCATGCGCAGAAGCCAGTTGAACATAGGCGTTTTTCTCTGTCAGGTCTGATCATGGTGTTGATCTTGGCCACATCAGTGTCATAGAGCTCCTCCACAGCCTGTTTGATCTTATGCTTTTTGGCCTCAATAGCCACAGTGAACACAAGTGTGGTGGTGTCCTCTGTCTTCTTCACAGCCAACTCAGTGGGCAGGGAGAACTTGTTGGTCGCCCAGTGGTCAGGCCTGGGGGAGAGGCAAAATGGGATCACCTGGCCTGGGCCCAGGAGAAGGAAGGGTTGGCCCTCTTTCAGAGCCCAAGGCTGGGAGAGCCTAGACACATCCGACAGTGAGGTAGCAATTGTAACCTGCTTTTTTTTTTCCACTTTGTAGTACATAGCTTTTCTTGTCAATAAATATATATTCATAGCATCATTTTTATGAACTGCAATATATTAGTTGTTTTAGCTATACCATAATTGAGATACTTCTTTATTGGATAAAGTTGCAATTTTTTTCATTGCTGTAAGAAATACACATATGTCTTTGTTCATTTTTCTGATGTTTTTTAAGCATAAATTCTAAGAAGTAGAATTGAGGTAAAGTCTTGTTCCTTCACCCAGACTGTAGTGCACTAATGTTTGTATTTTTAGTAGAGACAGGGTTTCACCATGTTAGCCAGGCTGGTTTTGAACTCCTGGCCTCAAGTGATCCACCTGCCTTTGCCTCCCAAAGTACTAGGATTACAGGTGTGAGCCACTGCACCCAACCCTTAATTTTCATTTCTTTGGTTACTGGTATTGTTGGGGTTTTTTTATGCTTATTGAACATGTTATCTCATGTAAAATGACAGTTTATATTGTTTGTTTAATTTTTTATTAAAATAGTCGTTTTTTTCTTGCTAATTTTTAAGTTTTTTCTTGTTCCTTTTTTTTTTTTTTTTTGAGATCGCGCCATTGCACTCCAGCCTGGGTAACAAGAGCGAAACTCCGTCCCAAAAAAAAAAAAAGATAGGTTGCCACTCTGTCACTCAGGCTGGAGTGCAGTGGTGCAATCTTGGCTCACTACAGCCTCCACCTCCTGGGCCCAAGCTTTCCACCCACCTCAGCCTCACAAGTAGCTGAGACTACAGGCTCACACCACCACACCCCGCTAACTTTTTTGTATTTTTTATATAGAGACTAGGTTTTGCCACGTTGCCCAGGCTGGTCTGGAATTCCTGGCTTCAAGCAATCCACCTGCCTCAGCCTCCCAAAGTGCTGGGATTACAGGCATGAGCCACCATGCCTGGACAGATTTTACATTTTGTCATTTGTCTTTTCAACCTTCAAAATAATCTATATTTTATGATTCTTTTTTTATTTTTGGTGTGATCCCCTTATTCTTACTAGGATTATATACATAGTCACCTATATATTTTTCTGTTCTTTTTATGGCTTAGTTTTTTACTTTGGAGTATTTGATAATACATCTGAACTGTACCAGTTGTATCAGTGCATTTAAAATGTCTTATCAGACACAAAATACTTATAAACTTGCTTTCATTTCTGGACTTCTGTTTTATTAATTTCTTTGTTATGAGGACAAGGCATTGTTTTAATTAGGCTAACTTTAAGATGCATTTTAATATTTAGTAATGCAAAACCACCTTCATTATTCAAAAATGATTTTTTCAAAAATCTCTTAGTTCTTTGTGCGTGATTATTTTCCTGTATGGGATGTAGAATCAGTTTGTCAAGTTTCCTTTCAAAAATTCCTATAGGGATTTTAATTTATATGATTAAATATATAGAGTAGTTTATGGACAATTGATATCTTCCTTTCTGGAATATGATATTTTCTACATTTATTTAGGTCTTCTATCTCTTTCTAAAATTTGTAGTTTTTCCCATATTGTTCCTGTATATTTCCTGGAAGTATAATGCTTTGTATTTTATATTTTAATTGCTAATATGAAATGAATCATTTGTTCTAATAGTTTTTGATGATGTAAAATAGTTAGTGATTTTTGTATATTTATTTTGTGACTATCCATCTTACAAGACCATGCTAAATGGATTTGCACTATAGAAGGTTCCCTCAGACAGCAATATGTAGGAAGGATTAAAGGTATGATAATGGCAAGAAAACAATTTATTGATTATATAGCTATAACTCATAAAAAGTGATGAGAACCTTAAAGAATGTAGCAATGAAGATGAAAATATTGATGGGTTCTGGAAATCAAGTGGTGCAATTGAAAATTTGATTCTTAATCGTGTGTGTGCATGAGGAAATGTCAGATGGTTTGTGGTTTTCTGGTTTGGGCAATTTGATTTATAGTAGTGGTTTTACCTGAGATTTGAATTATAGGAAGGAAAATGAACATGATGTAGTGTTGGTGATGGTGAAGAGATGATAAATTCCTTTTAGGGCATATTTAATTTGAGAGCATCAAGGTGAAAATTTGATAGGCTGGTGAATAAATGGATTTGCAGTTTGCAAGCAATGCCTGAACTAGAAATAATAATTGGATGAGATAACTTACAGGAAATGTGTAGGGAATATGACAGGATAGAACCCTAGGGACCAATGGTATTTAAGAGATGGGTAAAAAAGGTAACCTGGTGAGACATTCGAAAGCTGAGATGGGGAATCAAAGCCAAATTGCAGGCTTGGCATGGTAGCTCATGCCTGTAATCCCAGCACTTTGAGAGGCCAAGACAAGAAGATTGCTTGAGACCAGGAGTTTAAGACCAGCCCTTGAAACATACAAAACCCTATCTATACAAAAAATTAGCCAGGCATGGTGCAGGTGCCTGTAGTCCCAGCTACTCGGAAGCTGAGGCAGGAAGATCACTTGAGCCTGGGAGGCTGAGACTGCAATGAGCCATGATTGTACCACCACACTCTAGCCTGGGTGACAGAATGAGACCCTCTCTCAAAACAAAACAAAAAAACACTACCAACAACAATACCCAGAAATTTATTTTTTTAAGCCAAATTGTAAGAGTGAAAGTGGAGGTGGCCCAGAAAGAAAGGAAGGGTTAGATAGTAGCCAGTGGTTGAGGGTTTGAATTTCAGTTACTTTATAATTAAGTGAAGATTTCCAATAGTGAGTTGTCTTTATGGATCTTGGAATTTAGACATTTAAGATAGAATGTGGGGGAGTAATAGAGGAATAGTATAGAATAAGTTGCAAAAACCTCAAGCAGGGATCTATTAGAGATGAACAACTAATTTTCTGAAAGTAGAAATGGAGACCTAGAAGATGCTGCTGCTCTGCTGCTGCAATTGGTGGGCTCCACAGCTTCCATCATAGTGGAATAAGGAAAATGGAACTTTGCTATAAATGGGCTTCAATGCAAATGTCGAAGCAGATTGAACCTTTAGGTGAAGCAACAGATTTGATGAAGCTAGGATTTGATCTATCCTGTTTAGAAGTGGAGAGTGGAGATTAACACAATTTAATATTGAAGAATTGGTGTGTCCATTCAGCCAAGTGATACCCACATGGCTTCCTTCTTTCTCCAGAGTTGGCACTTTGACTTACTCTTCCCTGTCTCAATCTTAACTATATTCAAATTAGCCTCAGAAGGCTAATCCTCCTCAGAGCCTTTTATCTTGATTTTTATCATCAGATATACATATCATCAAAGCATTTGTCCTCAACAAATTTAGTAAATGTGCCCTCACCCAGATTATTGATATAAATGTTGACTAGCTCAGGATATCTTAAGCATCTGAAGACCAACCATGCTTTGGCATCATTCCTTTCTGGTGACATTGTTAGCACAATCAGTCTAGGTGATGGCCTCAACTGATTTCATTCACAGATGTCTTTTTTAAATACCACTTTTCCTCTTGACAGAGAGAGAGAGAGAGAGTATGTGTGTGTGTGTGACATTTGTACTCTCTACCTTCTTTATTCAAATTTATCTTCTTGTTCCGTCAACACAGAAGCTGTGTCCAGTGAGTCTGCTTCAGTCACTCAGTTATTCTAGTTTTAGTCCCTCCTCATTCAGGAATACATGCCTCAGTAAAAAATTAAAACTTTGGATATTAACAGTGTTTAATAGTATATTATTCAAAATAAATAAAATAAAGTATAACTAATGCATACTATTTCAGAGAACGTATCCCAGGCATTCAAAACATAGGAATTCTCATTTTAGTGTTTCCTCTTTTACGCTGAGGATTGATTCTGTTTACTAAATGCTTCTAGTAAAGGATATGTGAGGTTCCAAACAGAGCCGTATAGCATCAGGGATGTCATATTTGTGTAGCATCAGCTCCTGTCTCTGGGAGTTCTGAGCATTCTCGTGTGTGTTGATGTAACTGAACCTGAAATTGCTTTTCCTTGATAATGTATTTTTTGTTTCAGGAGACAAATTACATGCTTGTCATAGGGACAGTGTGAAATCTTAAACAGTAATAAGAACCCTGCTTTTTGGTGATAATGACTCCCAACCTTCATCCCAGTGATTTGCTGTACCCAAGGGGCATCAGAAATTGAAGCCAATTCAGGAGGCTGAGGCAGGAGGATGAGGCAGGAAGATCACTTGAACCCAGGAGTTCAAGGCCAGCTTGGGCAATATAGAAAGACCCTGTCTCATTTAAAAAAAAAAAATAATTAATTTTTTTAAAGGAAATAAAATGTTTTAAAAATTGAAGCCAAATGAGAAGTTTATGTATTTCTAGGCATTGTATCTTTTCACAAAATATGTAAGTACTTGACAGAAATTTTTACAATAATGAAAATAATTACCATTATTCAGTGCTTAATATATAACTGGCTTTGTGAAACCCTCTGTGCATTGTCTCATGTAATCCTCCTGTAAGTCAGATACTCATATTGTTCCCATCTTACAGTGAGGAAACTGCATTTAACAAGGTCACACAGCTAGTGAGTGGGAATTTGGAGAGTGGAGATGTGGATCTCAGACTCAGGACACCATCTCCTTTGGTTCATTCAGTTCAACAGTTTGGTTTTTTGTTTTTATTTTTAAGATATTGCTATCTAATTGTCATTAATCTACAAATTTGTCTTATAGGAACAAGTGGTGATGAACTTGGACAGCAGGCTTCTGATCTTCCCTTTATATATCTGCTGTAACTTCTTGTATATATCGCCAGAAAAAAGAATTGAAAATAATCATCACCCAGAAAATGCAGAAAACTGAAGATCTCATCAGTTGGAAACATTAGCACTTTGAAAACTTTTTAGGCCAGCTTTAATTTAATGGCCCTACTGATATTCACATCTAAGGTGACTAACAATGACAAAGGCCTTACAAACTGTACGGACAATACAGAAGATTATTCTTATCCTCAGTGCGTTTCTATGCATATATGAAAAAACATTTTAAAGCCAAGAAAATATCTGTCAAACTGTTTCTGTTAGAAAGACGTCAACTCACGCTTTTAATTTAGCATCAGTAGAAAATTGCTGTAGGTAAATCTCACGTTTATCTGCAATAACATATAGATTTAATTTTTAGCTTAAACTTTGTTTCTACCTTATGTTAGTGGACCTCAGTTACCCATCTGTAAATTTATTTTTATTTGGCTAAAATAATCTAAAAGAATAATTTGGATGGCCAATTAGAAATGCTCTTTTCAGTTGGTGCATTTAAAGCTTTCCTTTAATGTTTTCACCTGCTCATTATGATTCCTCCTTTTAGTCTAATATCTTTCCAGTCCATACTTGTTTTTAATCATTAAATACTTTCTTCCTGGTTTTGGAAACTAAGCTGAGAAACTTTGTTTAAACTTAAGCATTGTCATGCTATTTTTTTAAATTTGGCTGTCCTAGGATTTTAAGAACAATGAAAGGTAGCTTCATACCTTCAAATGACATTGAATGAGGGAAAAATCCATTTGATTCCAAGGATATTTCTTGCCTTACATGGTCTTTTCTTTGACAGTCTGTACACCTTTATTATTAGGTTTTGAATTATTTATGTACCAGATATTATAGTTTTAAACATTTTAATATTCTCTGATCTTTAGAATTATTTATGTCCAAATTTTAGTTGGGAACTTTGTTTCCTGTTTAAGCTCAGGACTTTATACCCTCTGAATTGAGTGCCTTTGAGTTACACATGCTAATAGAAATTTCATAGTAAATGTAAATAAGGTCAGAGGTTCTAATATAGAAGTTCAATGAAGCATTAATGTAAAAATGGAACTTATTTTTGTCAAAAATGAGATGTACACTTGTCAGATTTATATATTTTGACCTTTTGTGTTAACTGTTTTGAAAATAGCCATGTTCATTTTCTTTCCAGTTAGAGTAAGTACTTCTGTGGTTAATGTATAGTTTTACTATGGCTTTTAATATAGGAATCATTTTTATGTATCTGTGCAAATAATAAATGCCCATTTGGAAAAACAATAAATAATCTCTTATATAAAATGGACCAAACCCCCCCCTTAATTGAAACCAAAATTTTTTTTCTTTCTAGTTAGATTTTTTTCCAACTCCTTTTAACTTTTGGAATCTATTAAGAATTTTCTTCTTCCTTAATGATATGTCCATAGGTTCATAAATTGCTTTTCTTTTAAAATTCATCCACTTGGTTTAACTTAAAGGAAACTTGTAAATGCCTCACCCATGACCTCCAGAGCTGGAATTTAAATGTTTCTAATACAGTGATTTGGCCATTATCAAGAGGTTACATTTCAGCTGGGCATCAGCTGGGTGTGGTGGCTCACACCTGTAAGCCCAGCACTTTGGGAGGCCGAGGAAGAAGGATCATTTGAGGTCAGGAGTTTAAGACCACCCATGACCAACCTCGTGAAGCCCCATCTCTACAAAAAAATACAAAATAAAAATTAGCCAGGTATAGTGGCACAAGCCTGTAATCTCAGCTACTCAGGAGGCTGAGGTAGGAGAATCACTTGAACCCGGGAGGGAGGCAAAGGTTGCAGTGTGCAGAGATCATGCCGTTGCACTCCAACCTGGGCAACAGAGCGAGACTCCATCTCAAAAAAAAGAAGAGGTTACATTCCTTATTTTTATATTTGGCTATATTAGGTCTCTTTCACTGGAAGCTGTTGTTTTCTTTCTGTCTCATTACTGTGTAAGAGGTTCCTTACCCTTTCTTTATATATTGAAAAATATGTAAATGCCAAGCTTAAATTATTTGGATAATTTTTTGCAAATCTTGGAAGTAAAGATAATGTTTGAGTATATTAATGAATAAAATTAACTGTTTCATTTCACTTATATAAGTTAACTGGCCAAATTGGAGTTGTATGTGGTTTCATCCAATGGTTCTGTCGTGGCCAAGTTGCTTATGTCATCCATAGACAGGATAATTCTTTCTTCAATCACAAGTAGGTTAATGTTCTTATTTGAGAAGTTGATAATTGTCAGCTAGTAATTCACATTGATAGTAAAGATGTCCTTTTGTTTTCTTACCAAATACTTTGACGTGTTTGCATAGTTTGTTCTTTCAATAGAAATATTTTCAATAAAGTGTTAATAGTGTAAGCTAAAGTATTGTATAAACTATGGTTTATGAATCTTTGCATTGTGTCAGCTTTTGTCTTGCAGCCTCTACTGTTTTTTATTCTAGGGCTAGAAAAAACAATATTTACATTTTAAGCATTATTTGTGTCTGTCTATCAGTAAGGAAGAAGTCTTTAAGAAAATATGTCCTAGAATTTCACACTAAGGTATTAAGGGATATGAATACCTTTCCTTTAAAAAAAAAAAAAAAAAAAAGTGGCTTGGCATGAAACTTACCAAGATAGGCAAAATCATGTGGAGAACAGTGGTAGTCACTGTTTTGTTTTGTTTTTTTAAACCAAGTGTTTCACAGCTAACATTTTATCTCATTTTAAGTCTTTGAATAGGATTACTGTCATATGTGGACAACTTTCAATGTCAAATGCAAAAATAGGGTTACTGAAGATCACTGTGGCCACTTAAGTGTAAGTTAATTAAAATTTTTAAAAAATTAAAATGTACTCCCTCAGTCACACTAGCCACACTGTAAGTGCTCAGTAACTCATGTAGCTGGTGGCTGCCATACTGGACAGTACAAATACAGTATATTTCCATTGCAGAAAGTTCTGATAGCTGATGTAGAATATTGGACTAGTAATGGTTAAACTGTTTAAGACGAACCTGTGTAAAGAATAGAAAATATTAGAGCCAGGGGTACAAATGATAAGCATAGATGACTTGTCAATCACCTGAAATATGTTCAAGCAGTATGGACCCAGTCATGTGACTGGATTTAAAAAAAAAAAAGGCACGGCACAACTCTCTCCTCAACTAGAGAGTTTTAAATTCTTCCCAAGGTCTAAGGTACAGAGGTACAAACAGCAAAAATCCTGAAAGGGCATCAGTCATTGTTAACTGTATTTAATTATGGAGCAGAATTACTCAACAGTGTGCATTTATACAAAAGTATAAAGTAAAGGCTGGGCATGGTGGCTCATGCTCATAATCTCAGTGCTTTGGGAGGCCAAGTCAAGAGGATCTCTTCAGGCCAGGATTTTGAGACCAGGCTGGGCAGCACAGCAAGACCCCATCTCTACAAAAAAAAAAATTTTTTTAATGGCTAAAGCCAGACAGGATGATTCATGAATGCCTGTAATCCCAGCACTTTGGGAGGCCAAAGAGGGTGGATCACCTGAGGTCAGGAGTTCAAGACCAGCCTGGCCAACATGGTGAAACCCTGTCTATACTAAAAATACAAAAATTAACCGGGCATGGTGGCACATGCCTGTGGTCCCAGCTTCTCAGGAGGCTGAGGCAGGAGAATCACTTGAACCCAGGAGGCAGAGATTTCAGTGAGCCAAGATCACACCACTGCACTCCAGCTTGGGTGACAGTGAGACTCCATCTCCAATGAATCAATCAATCAGTAAAAATTTGCTGGGTGTAGTCCTAGCTACTCAGTAGGCTGAGGCGGGAGGATTGCTTGAGCCAAACAATTCAAGGCTGCAGTGAGCTCTGATTGGACCCAATATACTCCAGCATGGGCAACAGAGTAAGACCTTGTCTCTTAAAAATAAACTATGGCTGGTAATTTTATATGAACTAGGACTGGCAGAGGTAAAAAAAATAAAACTTCCTAGGGCAAAATAAAATTTCCTGGGTCAACAAAGACTTTTGGTTCAATCCCATAGGTTAGATGTGCATTTCCTTTAATATTTAAAATTGATCACTTTGTTCTCCTTAAAAGTGGTTCTCTGACCACTCCTTGATCTCATTTTGTTTTCTTCCTCTGGCTATCTTCAGGTGCTTTTCTCTCCGGAGACTGCACCAGGTGAGTTCATGTACTCTCTTGGCTTCAAATGACCATCTGTATTTTGATAATTCCTTTTTCTGTAGTTCCAGCCTATATCTGTCTTCCAAGTTCCAGTTACACATCTAGTTGACATCTCCTCTTCAGTGTTCAAAATAGCATCTCAAGTTAGCGTGTCCAGATCTGCATGCATCTACTTTCCTGGGAATTTGTCTTGTATGCCTCATGTCAGCAAATGATGCTACTCAGTTGTGCAAGCCAGAAACCTAGATGTCATTCTCAAATCTTCCAACTTCCTCATGCTCTGCATCCAGAAATCACAACATTCTTCTGGTTTTACCAACTGTATCACAAATGCAGCCATTTCTTACCTTGCCCACTGCCACCATTTCAGTACAGACCATGATAATTTCCAACCTGGATTATTACACCAACCTCCTGTGTTTTCCCCTCTGAGTCTCCATATTACCCAAAGAGTTATCTGCATAATTCAAATCTCTATTCTCCTATACTCAAAATCTTGAAATTCTTTGAAGGTTCCCCATTTGCCCTCAGGGTAACTCTTTACCATAGGTAACAAGTCTGTTTCAGCCTTGTCTTCACATCTCCACTCTGCCCCTAAGGTGGCTGTTGTACTTTTCCTTAGCTCTCTAAAGAGCCCATCCTGTCCCTCCTCGCTTCTTGCCCTTGCATGTGCAGTCTCCTCAGCCTGGACAATCTCTTCCCCCTTTCCCCAGCACAGATGTCAGCCTGTTTCACCTGGCTAGTTTCTGTTCATACTTTAGGTCTTGTTTGGACATTTTCTCCCAGAAACTTTTCTTGACAACCCTTCGCATGGTATGTGCCCTCCTAATACTCTGTTATTCCCCCATTAATGTACTTTCACACTGTTTACTTGTTTGTATCCCCCACTGGACTGCAAGCTACTCACGACGTGTGTCTTTTTCATTGTTTAATCCTCTGATACATGTGGTGTGCAATAAATGTGTGAATAATGACAAACTCTAGTAATCATGCCTTTTTATTTTCTGATGTTTTGACATCTGGTTTCTTGCTAAGACTTCTCTTCCTAGGACTAATTCCTAGAGACAGCAAAAGATTCCCTTTGGAGCATGCCTTACATATACACACCAGCCAATCCAAATATCATATCCCCAGCTACCTCCTTTAACAAACTCTCACAAGCCAAACCAATATTCCCATCCCCTAATCACCCCAAGGCCAGCCTCTCACCTAAGAGCCTGCTGAAATTATTCCAGCTGCTTACCCTGTCTCACTTCATTCCTTCCCATGACAACCACAGTAAAGTCTCACCCATGCTTTCCCCTCGTTCCCTCTACCTTCTGGTACTTCCCTGTGTGGGATGCCATGCCTCCTGCTTCTAGGAAGCTAACTGTAGTGTTTAACTCAGTTAAAAACATCTTCCTTTTTGACAAAATTCATTTCTGTGTCTATGTGTCTTACCATATGCTGTGGTTTGAGTGTATTCCTTAAAAGTTCATAAAATGGAAATTGAAATCCCATTTTAACAGTGTGGAGAGGCAGAACGTTGAAGAGGTAATCAGGTCATGAGGGCTCCATGCTCATGAATGAATTGGTGCCATTACTGCGGGAGGGGGTTTCTGATGAAAAGGATGAGTTTGCCTCCTCCCCCTCTTGCTCTCTGTCGCACATGCTTCCTCACCATACAATGCTTTCCACCATGGGATGACCCTCACCAGATGCTGGCAGCATGCTCTTAGACTTCCCAGTCTTCAGAATTATGACCCAAATAAACTTCTGTTCTTTGTAAATTATCCAGTCTGTGGTATTCTGATATAGCAGTAGAAACAGACTAAGACACCATATCTAATTAAAACATTTCAGATTTTTGAAACACATTTACTAAGTGCTATGTGCTGTTATTCCTCACAACAGTCTAAAGTATTAAAGTGTTAAACTTTATTATTCTCATTTTAGAGAAGAAAAAACTGAAAGCTTAAAGCTTAAGAACATGGTCCAAGGTGGTAAAGCTGTGGAACAGTGGAGCTGAAACTAAACTCAAACCTCAGAGCTGCTTTCGGTGGCTCATGCCTATAATCCCAGCACTTTGGAAGGCCAAGGCAGGTGAATCACAAGGTCAGGAGATCAAGACCATCCTGGCCAACACGGTGAAATCCTGTCTCTAAAAAAATACAAAAAATAAGCCAGGCGTAGGTGGTGCATGCCTGTAGTCCCAGCTACTCGGGAGACTAAAGCAGGGGAATCGCTTGATTCATGTACCATTTTAACAAACTAAAGAAAAATTGCATGATCATATTAATAGATGCGGAAAAAGCATTTGGCAAAATATAACACTAGAAAAATTATAAAACCTTTAGAAGATTACATAGGAGAAAGTCTTTGGACAGTCTTAGTCCATTCAGTCCGCTAGAACAGAATCCCATAGACTGGGTGACTTTATAGACAACAGAATTGTACTTCTCACAGTTCTGAAGGCTGGGAAGTTCAAGATCAAGGCATCAGCACGTTCTTCATCTGGTGAGGGCCTACTTCCTGGTTCATAGAACAGAATAGTGCCTTCTTGCTGTGTCCTTACATGGTGGAAGGGGAAGGGAATCTCTCTGGGGTCTTTCTTAGAATATAAGGGCACTAATCTCATTCATGAGGACCTCACCCTCAGGACCTATTCAACTCTCAAAGGCCCCACCTCCTAAAACTATCACATCAGAGATTAGCTTTCAAAATATGAATTTTGGGGGAAACAAGTATTCAACCTACAGCGGGATTCTGGGACTTGGTGAGAGTTCTTAGGCATGACACCAAGAGCACAATCTATAAGAGAAAATAAGTGAGCTTAATCAAAATTTAAAACTTTCACGGCCTGGTGAGGTGGCTCATGCCTGTAATCCCAGCACTTTGGGAGGCCGAGGTGGGTGGACCACCTGATGTCAGGAGTTTGAGACCAGCCTGGTCAACATGGTGAAACCCTGTCTCCACTAAAAATACAAAAATTAGCTGGGCATGGTGGCGGGCACCTGTAATCCCAGCTACTTGGGAGGCTGAGGCAGGAGAATCACTTGAAACTGTGAGGCGGAGGTTGCAGTGAGCTGAGACTGTGCCCATTGCATTCTAGCCTGGGCAACAAGAGTGAAACTCCATCTCAAAAAAAAAAACACAAAACTTTCACTCTGTAAAAGATCCTGTTGAGTGTGTAATATGATAAACTACAAATTGGGAGAAAATATTTTCAAATCATATATCTGACAAAGTATTCATATCTAGAATATATAAAGAACTCTCAAAACTCAACAGTTAGCCAGGCATGGTGGCTCACACCTGCAATCCCAGCACTTTGGGATGCTGAGGCAACTTAGGGAGACTCCATCCTTACAAAAAAAAATTAATTAGCCAGGTGTGGTGGCGTGCACCTGCAGTCCAGCTACTTGGAAGGCTCAGGTAGGAAGAGCACTTGAACCCAGGAGGCTGAGGCTGCAGTCAGCTGTGTTCACACCACCTGGGTGACCCTGTATCAAGAAAACAAAAACAAAAAACCCAAAACAAAACTCAACAGTTAAAACTCTATAATCGAAACAGAAAATGGACAGAAGACATGAAGTGACATTTCACCAAAAAGGATATATGGATGGTAAATAAGAATATGGATTGAGATAGCCATTAGGAAAATGCAAGTTAAAACTGTGATAAGATATCACTATATGCCTATTAGAATACCTGAAAAAAATACCAAACACTAGTGAGGATGTGCAGAAACTGGATTTCTCATATATTGCTGGTAGGCACATAAAATGGCATAACCATTTTGGAAAATAGATTGGCAGTTTCTTTCTGGAAAATAGATTGGCAGTTTCTAAAAAAA